AGTGACCCACAAGCGGAAAAGCAAACTGCATTTTGAAGAGCCGGGTGGACTTCATGATTGACAAGAACCAAATCGCAAAGGCCATCATGGTGGAGTTCTTGGTCTCCTTTGTGTTATCTGATACGACACCTGAGCGAAATGACTGAATTAATACTGTCATGGGTTGAGGCTGTAAAGGCGCAACCGAGAAGCAAAACGAAAGGGGAAAGTGTCCGGCGTCAAGGACTGCTTCATGAAAAGCTCGGAGAATGACACTCGTTTGCATGTTGGCACCGTGCTTGCAATTTTCTAGGACTGTCCAAACTCTCCATGGCTTGTGGTTACCTCAGTTCAACATCAGCGACGCAAAGAACTAGCTGTCCAGAGTCAAAGACAAAAAGGTGCTGCCAAGAGGCGAGGTCCTTGCCACCGCATCCCGATCACGCCCACCACAAACCGTGCGCCGGTCTTGAACAAATGAGTACCAGACCTCAGCAAACTAGCGGTTGCTAGTCAAATCATGAAGCAGGACAGTATCCTACCTCCAGCCAAGCATCCCAGCAATTGTTGGAAGCTTGCACTTGTTCTGGTCCATTTTGTCGATCGACAAGACCCTTGGACATGCCACGATAGTAAAATGCACAGACAGCAACAATTTCCAAATAATGACAGAACTGAGTAAGCCAGGCGGCCACTCATCGCCACTTGATCTCCTGGCAGATTCCTGCATCTTGTGGATCCCGATTCGTTGCGCTGCCTGGAATGCAAAATGCTGTCCCAATCGTCGGCGAATGGTTTCAATGGTATCTCTTTGGTCAAAAGCTGGGTCATGAAGGTGCACACACTGCAGCCTCAGAGTCAACAGGTGGGTCACACAATGAAGAAGACTCTCGTAATTAAGTACCTGAAGATTGCAAGTAGCCTGTGAAAAGGCTCTCGGACTTTGCCAACACAATCCATGGCAGCTCAACTCGCCAGCTATTGTTGAAGGTTCCCAAGTCCGCTGGCCTGCCATCTAGGTGGTCCAAATTCTGTTGGGTCCTCGAACACATGAACACAAGGATCAATCGTCGGACACACAGAGCATAATATATAATTGACATAGTGGGGCAATCCTCTCAAACCAGTATGCTGAATGATACCAGCTTCTCCGTCCGGCAGGCAAGTACAGCTTCTGAGCCATTGGTGACCATTCCCCATGTCGTTCTGCATATACCTCCAACCAGTTTCTTGCATCCTGAGTTGCGCAAGAGGTGCGGCTTGAGACTTTCAATGACAAGGCTCAACATGACTGATGCAATGTGCACACACACAAGCTCAACGTGTTGTCCAAGTACTTGTGAGCACGGGGAGTATTTCGCACAGACTGCCAAAGGCCCATTTCCGAGCGTGACAGCACAGTCACTTTGTTCTTGGCGGCGTCGCTGCGAGCTTGTTGCAATGTTCCCGCACTGACTCCCGTCAATATTTTGAATGCCTCAACACATACAGACACACCGAGGAAGGTAAAGTCACCCTGGCCCCTGGCCGCTTCCATCAAATGTGTCCGGCGGTGATGCTTTGGCATGGAGCTCCATAGAAAGCGCCAGTTCCTGACCAGACCAGGGTCGCACCGGAACCGCTCAAGACAGGGGTGTGTTTTCACACCCCTGCCACACTCCTTGTTCACCTGAATCTCCTGAGTTGCTGCACATGTCCGACATCATTGCTTCAAAGTCCAATGACCAAGTGTGACTTCATCAGAGCTGTCACTCATACATACCACCCAAATCACCCCAAATCCAATATCTTGGCCTAGATTCGATCTGGGAGAGTGACAGAAATTCCTCCACTTGCAGATGGGCTTCGGCAGCCAGAGCTCTGCTGAACACTGTTTTCTTTGTCAGGCCAAAAGAAATCCTGCCCACACCAGCAGTGGCAACTGCACACAAAGCTCGCTCAGCTCGCTGATATGCTTTGTGAGGATGCATTTCCTGAGCTAAGCCAGGCCAGGGACTGAAAGACTCAGACCATAATGCACCATTGCAAACAATGGTTCTACAACAAATACATACAAATACTACAGACAGACATGGACAAAGTGTCTGCTTGAGCTCGATCTTCCCGGTCCAGCTGCGCAATAGCAAATTGGCGGCTTTTTGCTAAAATTCCCTTTGGGATGTCACTCGATGATGCAGTAGCCAAGCTCCTTGGACCCACATGAACCGTCAGACAAGAATCTAAATTATTAGCAATGAGTGATAAATACTCCGAGTGTCTGAAGGGCTTCAACAAGCTCTGCTGACGGCAGTTTCCATGGGTCCCACTTTGATATGCACTCAAAAACCTTGATTTCTTCCTGGAGGGCCAATGGCTTGGCAAGCTCGGTGGCCTTTTCAGCTAATAGCTCTTCGCAATCAGAATTATTCTCATCTGGCAGTTCTGTGGCAGAGACATGCACTGTGACACTTTCATTTGGCAACATGTCCGGCGGGAGAACTGGCCACCAGTGATACCTGGACTTCATCACTAGTGGGATAACGCCTGCAACCTTGTCTTGCTCATGCAAGGAGCGTCCGACCAAGGTCTGAAATGTCAAAGTCTCATCGCTGTAAACCTCACCTTTTGTAGATCCATGTCTTGCCGGCCAGCCATCGAAGCGCTGATCTCCTGGATGCTGAGGCCTCCAAAGATCTGAGATAGCCTTGGAATTTGTCAGTGTTCAAGACAGTCTGACACATGATGTGCTCTCAAAGTGTGAACGAAGCAACTTGTTGTCCTGGAGCCATTGAGCAGCCAACTTCCTTGCGTCCGAGATCTGCCTTCTCTCCTTGGCAAAGCGAAAATAAAATTCAATATAGATTATCTTTGCAATGAAATCTCAATCCAATAAATTTGAGCTGAGCATCGTCATTCATCCTTCTCCATCGCAGAAATGGCTCTCTTCGTGGCAAGGGTTGCCCAAGGGCCGCGGTGACAAAGGCTCGTAGGGCGGTGAAACAAATACTCCAAGAGCTTAAAAATCAAAACATGGCGGTTAGTCCGGCGGCTGTTCATGACACCTGGCTGAGGAAGCAACTCCATCTTCAGGATCAACCTCAGCTGCTTGATCAAGAATCAATGGCTGACAAGCTAAATGCCTTTGCAAACTGAATTCAGTCCAGCAACTAGGGATGTCAAAGGGCATCTCAATCCTCCGCGCCCACCACCAGATGGAAGATCAGGAATCTCAATCTCATATTTGTGTAGCAGGTCCGGCGTGAAGAAAGGCTGCCACATCGTAACTAGTTTGCTCTTGGGCCAAACGACGTGAAGCACAGCTTCGAGATATCGTTGACAAAGACTGTGGCTGACTGAGATTATTTGAACTTGTGCAAACAATTGTTGAAGCCGTTGGCATCTTTAGAGCGGGTGAGGAGTTGGTCGTTGTGACCGAGGTTGTTGTGACTTCCTCGTTTGTTTGAGGAACTTCATGACAGCCTTCTGTACAACATTGTAAGCCTTCCCACATTTGCAGGGCATGACTTTCCCTTCAATCTCATCTTGAATTTCCCTCAAAGTCATGTTTGGCCCTCTCTCACTCGACATAAGTTTTTTCACCTCAAGCCAGCTGTCATTCACAAAAGTCAGGAATCCTGAGGCCTTAGGTTCCGGCTTCACTTTTCAGTCTGTTCTTATCCCGCTTGCTCAACTCTTCTTCAAGTTCTTCACTCATGACTTGAGCCCAGTCTGTCAATCAATGAGCAAAGTGAGCGGCAACACAATCCAAACTCATGGACAATGTGACAATGGACAATCAAGTCGGTCGGCTTGGACTCTGGTCACTTGGGTCAAAATCTGAATCACGCTTGTTCCGGCGAAAACTGGTCTACAGCCTACGCAACTGGCCAAAGCCAGCCAAAGCTCGCCGCTGCCAAGCTTGGTCCGGCGAAATCTACAGCCTACACAACTGGCCAAAGCCAGCCAAAGCTCGCCGCTGCCAAGTTTTGTCCGGCGAAAACTGGTCTGCAGCCTACACAACAACTTGGCCAAAGCCAGCCAAAGCTCCTCCAGTGCCGCTGCCACCTGACGGTTTTGCTGCTGCCGAATCCACTGGCTGACCCATTGCAGGCTGACCCACGGGCGCAGGCTTTGGAGGAGGCACAGGCTTTGCACTCCCATTCGAAGCAGGCGCAGTGGGCTTCCTAGGAACCATTGGGCTGGACAAGAACGATTTGGACAAGAATCTCCGGACTGTCAGATGAATGCGTCCAAGTCACTTGCTCTTCATCTCCCAATCACGCAGGTGGTCTGGCTTTGCTAGCGGAGCAAAGTTTGGAGTCAAGCGCCTTTGCTTGACCCAAGCAAACCTGAGTAGTCCATGTCAGATGTCCGCCGCTAGATTGCTAGATTAGTCCAATGATTAAAGTGTCAGCCAAGACCATTCTTCAGCAGGAAATCCTTGTGCGCTTTGTTCCTGCACACGACCACACAACGAGTGTTCTCGCTCAGTCCGGCGATGATCCCATAGCCAGCCCTTAGATTCATGGATCCATGAACAAAGTCTGGGACAGCGCACAAACCCAAAGTGCACATTGCACATCAATCACTTTAACCTAGAGGCTCTGGGCTCAGGTCAACAAATACTTCAACACCGAATACATGGATGAGCTCTTGCTTGAAGATCGGGGCATGCTCATACGGAAAGCATTGTACCTGACCATCCTGCACCTCCACAAAAGCATCTTCTGTCCCCAGGTCCTGCAGGGTGCCATGCCCGGTGAAATTTACATCAGCTGACTGAGTTAAAATTTGGACTTATAAAGTTAAAGTTAAGCTTCAATTCAGGGACCTCTTCATCTCGATCTCCAGCACTGTCGTCGTTCTGAAAGATGGCTGCGTAGTCAGTGAGGGAGCGCAGAGGGATCCTTGTCACATTCTTGCACTTAATGATTAGTGGGGAATAGTGGGGACATGAATCGCAATGGTTGGCTCCAAGGCACGTGTTCGATGGCAACAGCGGAATAGGGAATCTCGAAAAGAAGGTATCTGACTTGAGATACTTCATCGTCGTCTTCGCTTCGGTCAGACCCTTCTGGCTCCGAAGCATGATCTTCTCTTCCACGTTGCCCGCAAAAGGTCGGCGACCTCGACGGAATCTTGATAGAAGGTCTTGAGGGTCAGGATCCACAAGAGCCGTGGCCAGGTTGTACACCTTCGAAGCCAAAGCCTTTCGGGTCACCTTGGGACAGTGTGCATTACTTGAATTGAGGGCTGGCTGCATTTGTTCATTTGTATTCCAAACTGTCAAGTCACCTCCATGGGTTTCACCTTTCCCTGCGAACCCCTCACACAAATTCCAAGGATGTTCCGTCCGGAGGTGTGCTCGTCCGGCTCTTTTGCTTGCAGACTCTCAAAGGTGTCCACCACAGTCTTCAATCCTTGGAATCACTTGTGTGTCCGCCGGACCTGTCAAACAAACACGTCGGACATCGTCGGACAACTGCCGAGACTCTTGACTCCGAAATACCCGGCCCTGTCCCAGCATAGGGGTTCAATCTACGCTTCTTCGTCGCCTCCCAATTGATCGCACCATCTCCGGCGACAGAGTAGAAGTACAGCTTCCTCTTCCTCTCTTCCATCATCTTCACCCTCCGCAACTTTGGAATCAGTGTGTCGTCAAGAGGGTTGACCACGATCTCAACTCGTGAGAAGACAAAGTCCCTGACAGCATCGTCCTCGTGCTTCATCGCCTTGAGGTTGAACTGAGCCAGTTCCTCTTTGTACTCCTCCTCCGAACCAAGGCTCAACTTGTTGATCACCTCCAGTCCGGAGTGAAGTTCTCGAGCGGGCTCAACTTCAGCCACGGCTACCTTAGGGAAATCAGTCTCATATTTTGCACGGCAGTCTTGGATTGCCTTCCCAAGCACATCATCCTTGAGGCAGGTAAGAGTGAGAGCTTTCCCAGGAACAGATTCCTTTGCCAGCTTGCACATTGCAACCTCAAACGTGTTGCGTGCTAATCGTGTCAATAAGTTCTTCAAAGGACCAAATGTCACGAAAGTGCTCACGTTGCAAGTTTCCACACCTTCTTTTTCTGATCCAGCTTCTGATCCACCTTCGTCCAAGTCTTGGTCTGGGCCCGTCTTGATAAAAGATCCGTCCGGCGATACGTTCATCTGACCATAGTAAGTCTCTTCCATGAATTCTGTGATCAAGCCATTGAACTCCTTAAAGATCGACTTGAGGTGCACGTAAAGGTCACGACGAATCAAGATCGACTTGAGTCGCGTTGCAACATCAAAGTTGCCATACCCGCATCTGAGTGTGCCAATATCACGACCTTTTCGAATCCCAGCTCTGTGCTCAAGCATGAGTCGTGTCACCTTACTTTAGACAAGTTTGTGACCGCCTGATGAAAGACTCAAACAATGTCCGGCATGCATGGTGTTAATCTTCAACTGAGTTGCGATGTATTGGCAGTCAAGGTCTCCAAGGTTTAAGCCTGGCGACAGACAACAAACAATGCTGTGACACCTTCACTTGAAACTGCTGAAAATTGTCACTTATACTGCTGGCAAGGAGCTCACCAAAGACCTCAAAGAGGTGACACCATCAAGAAGCGAAGCTCGTCCCATGTGCCCTTCATAAAGATCAAGCGCGGAAGAAGTCTTTGGCATTGTTTGCAGCCGATGGCCCACTCGCACTACTAACTTCACTCCAGACTGTGCGGATATTGGGAAACGCTGTGCCCCACGCTGTCCCACCTGGCGCAGTTCCCGCCCAACAAAAAACGCATCCGAT